AGGTTGGACAACATGTTCCAAATTAATTATTGAATAAGTACCTACATCGTCGAAAATTGATCAAATTTCAACTTGGGTCCTATAACTTATATATTTTTTAGGGTTTCTATTGTATCTCCTAACCATTTAACCCAACTTTTCATTTTATACAGGTGCAATTTGATTTTACTGAATTTATTATTTTTGCAGAATATCAATACAATAATTTGTAATCATTCATTCTTATTTTTATTAGTTTTCTGAAAAATGTAATTCTTTTATATTTTTACGTGTATTTCGGAATTCCCACACTTCAATATTTTATGTGACTTAATTATTTATTTTATTTTTCAAATTCGAGGCCGCCCTTGCCATTCTGTACTTATTAAACTATTGACCCACCCCCAATAATTATTCGCTGAGCAAACTGAGCAAATTATGGGCCTCCTGTTTATTTGTTAACAAAAGGGGTTACATAAATTGGCGCCTAACGTGGGGCCACGAAACATCACATATTAACATCATTAAAATATTGTACAGTTTGGTATTATCTTTTATCTTTTCTTTTCGCATAACTCAACCACTTGACTTTAGGTATGCCAGTATTACGTAAATTAATCCAAATTAATTTTTAATAATTTACAGAGCAAAATTTAATGAATACTTCCGTCATTTACCTACTGATTCTTGATATTTTCCCTGGAAATTTAGTTTCGCATTTCTTTAATAATCCCGAATTCTAATTTTTTTTTGAAAAACAATAGATAGCGAACAGTACTTCCTAGCGATCCCGGCGAAGGATGGACTGTTCAGGAACACAGCACATCTGCCTACGCGAGATCTTGATTTTTCTCATTTTCCACTCCGAGGAAAATCTTGTCCTTATGCCTATAGTCCCATATAAATGTCCCATTTTCGTCCGTATTTCATAGTAAAGTTTTCTTGCTCCTATTGAATGATTTTAATACCTCAGTGTCATGACATAATTTTTTTTTTGTTTTGTCTAATCAATTTTCCTTTTGTCTTACCGTTTTCGATATGGTATCGACATTTTATCGTGTGTCATGCATTGGATTGCATTGGCATACTATTTTACCGTTGCTTATCGATTTATTTTATTCATTGATGTATATATTTTCAAAAAGTTATCTTTGTATCTTGGTTGATATGGACATTTTGTTTTATACCTTGTCAGTGTCATTGGCTTTAGCTTTACTATCTTTCCTTACCCTTACCGTTATTATCTTCTGTTTTTTTTCAAGACATTACCGTGGTTTACAGAGATTTATCTCTGGAGTGAGTCCTAGTAATCCTCATAGTACCGTACCAATTTCAATAAGTTTCTGCGACTCATCTATCAATTTTGTTACCTTAGGGTTAAATTTCTGTCTGGTAGTTTGCTGAAGTTGCCATATCCTATTTTTTGAATTACCTATTCTGATTATCGCTTATCGTCGATACCTTATGCCGGTGTTCATGATGTAGAATCAGATTTCACCAGCCATTATCGTCATGAATTTTGTTCGGAATTTTTCCCTGTACCTTCATTCATTACTTTTCTTTACCTACTGCTCTATCTTTCTCTATATTTCTATCTTTCTTTGCAAGTTCAGTCAAGTTTTGAGGGACCCTACCGAATTATGACTTTTTATTGATTAAGTTTTGATTATGACCTACCAATTTCTCAATTATGACCTAACAATAATGATTTCCGTAAGGACGAGAGATACACGTTAGATATCAGACTGAAAATACTTGAAAACCGCCTTCAACTCTTTTCCTTTCTGCCTTAACTATTTGTCTATCTTTTCTATGCACTTACCTTACCTAGTTTTTAAGTCTTTTTGAAGGATGGCAGTGTAACATGCTAAATGTTAATGTTTTTCTTTTTTCCATATAATTGTTTTATAAATTAAATTATCACCTTCAATGTTGACAATCTGGTGACTAGCATTAAAAAAAAAAAAAAAGATTTCTATCGAAAATAATAATAGCAATTATTAAACTAGAGGGCATAATTTTCCTTTAAATTTGAAGTACCAGTTTAGTACCAACACTCTCGTGGGTTTTCCGAGGAGCCATTTTTCCGAATAGCCGTTATCCCGGGGAGCCGTTTATAACGTACTTATTTTGGCAATTGCCTAATTATACTGCATACGGCTAGTCAGCATCAGTTCGGCGGCCATGGGTCTATGGGTTCATTGTATACATCTTACCTTTGGGCGCCACCAAGTTAATTGTGACTTAACTAGGAAGATAACCTAATGATGTTTAAACAAAACCTGTGCAATTGGAGAGCTTATCAATAAAACAACTAATTAGGTACAATAATGTATCTGGCTTCTTTATTAAAAAATAATAACAATAATGAATAGGGATAGCCAGGACATCATTATGGCTTGTACAAATTTATAGATATTTAATTATAAAAAAATTAATGTAAATAACGCATATATAAATATGAATTTTAAGTAAACACGACTAAAAACCTTTTGGTATTTACACTTGTGAGTGATAAGAAAACTACAGTATGGGTTACACTTTACCAACAGGCAAATTAAACACAGAAAGATGAAAGTTATTGTTAGGGCAACCTCAGGGTAAAATTCTAGAATTTTATTTAAGGGGCACTTACCGACGTAATTCGGTGTCAGATGATTTATATAAGATTTGCCTAAATAGTAAAGGTGCAACTTACATGTATACAAGTGAAATGTATGTGAAAATCCAGAAGTTTCCAAAGTGAGATTATCTACAGGTTTGGTCTCACTATAGATAGGCTTAGGTATGGTAAGTGAGTCATGAGTCCTATCCACGTTGTATCCGTTCAACGTAGAACTCGACGTGATTCTGCCAGAGTGGCACCAAGAGAGTTGCTGAAGAATGGCTACCAAAGCCCCAACTGAGAGCAATCTAGATCCAGTCTAGAATCTCTCTAAATACAGCTTAGCAACTGTCCAACTATAGTCTGAGACTAGGACCCTATAACGATGTTCGTATAAAAAAACAAATCGAGCCCCAAATATTAGAAATAATCGTACCTCAAATTGAGGGATACTCTAGTCCAAAGGTGAAGTCTTAAACTTTCAAATGCTGCTCGGAACAGTCCTATTAAAAAAATGGAACACGTGTTGTAGGTTAATATTTCCTGAAGAAAATCTCAAACTTACCGAAACAGAATCCAAAAATGACCAAGGGACTACTCTAGACAATTATCAGCAAGAAATTAGTCTAAAACTTGAGCACAAAATTCCAAAAAGTCTCGCCCCAAAAATAATTAGGGCCGAGTCCCGAGACCGGACGACTACTCAGCGTGAGGTCGCAGATCAAAAGGGGCAGATTCTTCATTTAGATTTCGGAAGAAGACTTTCATCTGTCAAACTTCTAATTTTGACATTGAAGAAAATTATAGAAAAGGACGTGTTCAGTTTCACCCCAAAAGTACGAACTGAGAATCGGTTGTGTAAAAAATGACTGGTGAATGTTGAAAAGTGCCTATAAAACATATATCAAAAAGTAGAACAGGTCTAAAGAAAACGCCTAGACAAAACAGCTGTTCAATGACATGATGGAAATGAAAAATCAAAAAGTAAACAACAATTATTTTCATAACCTCAGATTATTTATTTATCAATTAGATTTGCAAACAGAAATGATGAAAAAATCTCTCCTTTTCCTAAGATTCTAATCAATAACAGCGGGCCCTGCCGTACTGAATCAAACCTTCCTAGATCAATCAACAAAACTTGCAAACCTGCACAAAAAAACTTTCAGTAGAAGGCAGTAATCAAGGTAACAAAATCTGGGCACAAAAAAGATAGTTGTTTATTCATTTATTTCATTGTAGCTTTATATGGAATCATATCCAGTATGGCAAAACAAGGTAGCTTATTAGCCAAGAAATTGAAAACGTTACACGTTTTTCTTTGGAGCCGTTTCTCTCAACAAATTTCATTCCCAACAAGCCCGGATTTTTAAAGAACACCATTTTCGTGGAGTGTGGCTTTTGAAGGGATTCCTACAGGAGTCAATTCCCTCACGTATTCACTCCCGTACCTCTACATTTGACGATACTTGAGAACTTCTAACCTCTATCTACCTTGATTCAAGGCTTGAATCTGCAACTTCCATGTACAACTTCCCTCGTTAAGTGACAGAAAATGGATGGCTGGATGGCTACCGTAATCCACCTTTTGTTGGAATGGAGGCTTGTATAAAGTTTCATGAATAACTTTTAATATATATTTTTTTTATTATCTATTTTATGATCAATTAACATAATTGATTGAATTTTTACTGATATAACATTTAAATATTCAAAATTTTGATTTCGCATTCTTGACGCCGAGGTGATGATGGAATAGGTAATTGATTTTCAGGATTTTCGATTTATCGAATTTATTATAGATTTATCTTTACCTAACTTTTAATACTGCCATGTTTCAGGAATGTAAAATGTAAATGTCATAATCATTAATCTGAACTGTGTGTTTCTGAATTTTCACACTTCACTATTTTTTATGATCTAAATATTTATTTTATTTTTCAAATTCAGTGGCGCTCTTGCCATTTTGTACTTATTAAAATATTGACCCACTCCTAATAATTATTCGCTGAGCAAACTGAGCATATTATGGAACTCCTGTTAATTTGTCAACAAAAGGGGTTATACATTCAAATTAACCTCAACTAATCACTGATAAAGTAACTGTTTGAAAGTTGACTCCTTCAGCTTATTCTCCCATTCACAACCCACTCGCTCCAACTAGGCGGACAACTACAGTAGTTCGATCTCAAAGTTTCAGTATATCTACCAGATCTTATAATAAAACGTCTGGTTCAAAATATTTTTAAATTCCAGTGTATCTATGGCTGCTATGTCCACTCTGCTATTCTACCAACGTTTCATCGGCGATGTTATTGGCTCCTTCAGGTAGTATGTCAAATTTTATTACTAAAAAAAAAAAACATTATTAAAATATTCAATGCCTGATTCTGCACTAATACATTTTTCTCCTTAGAATCCGGATATCGTCCTAGTACACTATCTCAACGTACCCTATCCAGATGACAACAAACTTGCCGTTATAACACCCAATTTGGCACTGTGGGCGGACAAAAAAGAATGGACAAAAGATGAACTGGTATCCCAGCTAAAACCGATGTTTTTCAGCGAGGACGAGCCCGATCTCAACAACGAATTAGAAATATCGGTAAGAAAATGTATTACTAGAAATGGCATTAAAATTTTTACGAGTAGATTTGCAGTGTGCTGGCAAGTAAAGTTATTGCTTTTGATTTTATAATATTATTGTGGTTGTAAAAATATGTTTTACGGGTAGTTTTAGAATATTTATGAAGCCAGAAAATATTGACAAAACCAATAGGGGATAAAATTTGAAGATTTTCTTTGATGTTAACGAAAGATAAATGGTTCTTCCGATAAATCTTTATTATGCTAAGTCGAAATGTTCTTCAAACAAATAGATTTGAACGTGCGAATTTTGATTCATTAGATGTGATTCTATCTATTTGAATCCTGTAGTTAGAAAAAAACGCACTGTGCTGCGTCATTTCACACGTGTCTCAATTTGCGCCTTGCCTTAATGCGTGAGCCACACGCTAAGAAATAAAAATATTCGTTATGTAAAAAACCTTTTAAATGGGTCTATTATTAGGGTAGGTAATTAAAGCTACATTTTTTACAATATTTGTTATACGCCCCTCAGAGACCTGGGTAACATGTCCAAATGGTATAAAACCTAAGATATATTGGCGACCTTCATTATATACTGTGAGTCATCGGAAATATAAAAAATGAGAGCTTTTGCATTATTAAGTATTTGTGATTATCCACCTTATGTTTTCTTTTGAAAATGTTTCAAAAATTCACCGTTTCTCATTATGATTTCAATAAAGTTTCACGCTTTGGACATTTTCCTTCTTGTTTATACAAATTTTCTAATATTTATGTTAATAAGACTATTTGCAACGCCATGATCCCAAATGCCAAAACTATAGCTCTGGCCAATTCTCTCACTCTTATATAGCGATTTAATTTAAGCCCGTAACTGAGAGTTTATGAAATTGTATAAATTATATTTTATCCTTTTCCCTTCACAGAATTTTAAATTGCAAACCGCGGAAACCGTGGAAGCCATCGTGAGCCAGTTAATGGAAAAACAACGAGTCGCGAGACAAGCAGCTTTGGTAAGTAAACAGTTTTATTATTTTTTAAAATATACAATGAAAAATTATTATAGTCAGTTATAATTAACGAAAAAAAAAAAAAAATGGTTTCAACTTTTTGAGGTCTGAATTATTTTAAGAAGATTGGAATTTTTGAAATTTAGGTAAAACAACTCGAATGCGGTTGTCCAGATTCCACCTGTGCCGATGGTAAAAGTTGTTCACATCCTATGCGTCGTATAACATCTGCTAAATCAGGATCTCCTCTTCCTAGTTCAAGTACAAATTCAAGAAACTCCAGTTCAAATTCAGAAAGTAACAATCAGGTTTCCTCGACTACTGGTTCTGGTTCTTTGCATATAAATTGTCATAGTACTCCGAGAGTTTATTCCAGGGATAGAACTACTCAGTTGCAAAACGGTAACAATTGTTCATCCAGTTCTGCGAATACTCCCCCACTTGTTTTAAGTTTATCCCAAATTCAAGGTGGGTTATGATAGAAAATTAATTTCTCTTATACACTTATGTTAATTGTTTTAGGAAGCGGGGGTCTTCTAATTCTTAACAGCAACACGAATAGTACAAATCATCAAAGTCTTGTAAATCCTGTATCTGTAGCAAATTTCATGACGTGCAATACTAACAGGGGAATAGTAAAAGAACAAAGGACAAGGTAAAAATATCAAACGGAAACATTTTTGGATAGGTACTATAAATAATTTTCCAGTCATCTAGTTTTGAAACAAGAAGTAATGGATACTAACACATCATCATGTCTCCACGCGTCCAATCCAAAGCAAGAACCCAAAAATAAGCCACAAAGAGATAACAAAATGGAAATAAGCGATAATTTAAGACAATCATTATTTGAAAGCAATATTTACGCTACTAGTTTGCAACAACAGCAACATCAGCAACAACAGCAACAACAACAGCAACAACAACAACAACAGCAACAACAACAGCAGCAGCAACAGCAATCTCGGAGTAATAATATGTAAGATTTGTATTGTATTTACTAATTGTTTATTAGCTTTACTAACAAATTCAATGTTGTGTTCGACATGGGGCCATTCTCAGACGGTCCATTTTCAGATCTCAATCACAAACTGAGGTTATTATGTCCAGCGCACCTGCGACACCTTCAAAACTGATGGACACTGGACATGATGAGGCTACCAATGGGGACTTTAAACATCAAAGTTATGAAGATACTGTAGTGCTTCTTGGTACGTATTTCTTTTATCTTCTAAAATAAATTCTATTTTGTTAATTTCAGGTACAGATTCTAGTGGCTCTCTAGTTAGTAAAAGCGACGGTTCTTCTATTATAAACGGAGGGTTTTTCAATGAAACTTTGGATCTATCACACGAAGATATTCAAAGAACCCTCTCAGCCAATATGCCCATGTGTTCAAGTGAGCTTGAAAATCATCATGCTACACAAGAAAATGAGACAAACAATAGTAATCAGCAAACTAAAAAGATAAATGAACCCACAAATCTAACAGGTATGTTTTATAATATTTTAAAAAGTGCATAAAATATTAAACAACAAACTTTTTAGGTGACATTAATCCCATGGACTTCATCGACAATTGCGATGTTGTAGTTTCGCCCACCCACGTTGTTGACGATGACGTTTTTGTGAATCTCGATGCGTTTGATATGCTTGGCGAGTTTCCGGATCTGGATGGCTTAGAATCCAGCCACGCTTCTCTTTTAGATGTGAATCCGTCCGAAGCGAGTAGAACCAGCCATGGAAAAAGCCATGTTAGTCAAACTGCGCATCAACAACAGGTTCAGAATAATAGCGGTCAGCATATGGAAGGTAAGACGATAAGGATTCAAATAGACTAGACTAGGTTTGCTTATAAAGGGTGTCAAATTCAGCACGAATGTAATTTTCATAGGGGTTGGCTCGATCTCGAAGAACCACCTCCTAGAAAATTATGAATTAGAAACGGCAGTCGAGTGATACTCCATTTTATTCAGACTAAAATCATCCATCATAGAAGTTGGCGGTGGTAATTTCTCACATTCATGTAAATAATGTATCTACTATAAGTAGGTATCTAAGTCTAAGAAATATCTTGAAAGCTTTCTAATTTAGTATCGATTTTATTTTAATGGGATTGTAATCTGGATTTGCTCGTTTATAATAAGAACGCGGTTTTGGAGGATTCGGGGAAAGCCAAACAACAACAATAATTGTGGTTTGCTTGATGAATATTTTCGTACCTATTGGCTAGACAAATTCGATAAGACTCTATCGTGGCTGTTAGGGAAGAGTATCACTAATTTTTCATAAAAAGTTTGCGAAAAAATATATTATGAGCTTTCGTTCCAAAATGGACGCCCTGCATATGTATGATCTTATACTGGGTGCATTGTTATAATTTTTTCAACGCTTCATTACAGGTGCTGCCAAAATAACTGATTACTCTCCTGAGTGGGCATATCCAGAAGGAGGAGTCAAGGTATTAGTTACAGGCCCTTGGCACTCTTCAGGGCCATACACAGTTCTTTTTGATACATTCCCTGTCCCAACTACCTTAGTGCAAAGTGGAGTATTGAGGTGTTATTGTCCAGGTAAGAAAGAATTTCCCAAAATTTCATTGTCTTGGATAACATTTCGGGTCATTATGCTATTTTAGCTCATGAAGCTGGCCTAGCCACTCTCCAAGTGGCTTGCGATGGTTACGTGATCTCCAACTCTGTGATATTTGAGTACAAGTTGCCTCCAAAAGAAGAACAAGCCGTGGCGCCAGAACCGAAAGTTGAACGATCCAATGATAATTTGTTGAAGTTTACGCTTCTACAGAGACTAGAAGCCATGGATGATCGACTACAGATAAAACAGGAGCCAGCTGATAATGACGTGGTAAAGTTTATTTTATTTTTATGTTTCCCGAGGCAATGGAGGAAACCTCATACAGTTTCCTATGAAATTTTGGTTATAATATTCATTCGTTCCCAGTTTTCTCACTGACTTTTACTTTTCTATACTATCACCAAAACAACATCATGTCTAGTTTAGCTGTCATTTAACCGATGATAGTTATTACTTAGCCAACAGCTAAACTAAATAACCGTCCACTGATGAACCGATCCTTAGTGCGGCTAGTTCAATCGTTGGGTAAATTCTTGTTAGCCAACAATAACCTCAGATTTTGCCATAAAAAAAACAGTACCATATTGACATTGACACAATCAATTTTTTTTGTTAACTGACAAGGACTTAACATACGATTGATCTAGTCGCACTCACGAATTTGGCTCTCAAGTTTTTATTCGTTCCATCCATTAAATATTATGAGTGTAAATGGGATTTGGTGATACATTTTCGTTTGTGGTGAGAACGTGACAACGGACCGCCGAAATCGAACATGGAATGAACCAGGTTAACGATTTATTGAAAGTTGCGGACGAGAAACAGGAAGAACAGGATAAAGAACAGGACCGGCTTCAAAAAATATTGCAAAAGCAAAAAGGCAGAAGACAGAAACTAAAGCTGGAAGAATAGGACCGGCTCCTGAAAAAGCTGCATGAACAAGCGACAAAGAGAACAAAAAGAACGAAAACAAAGACATTGTAGTAAAACGCACTCAAGTACTCTATTTGATTAGTTAGATGGTAAATGGCGAGCGGTATATTGATGGTGTTTATCTCCTTGAGCGGCTACCTATAAAATTGTGGAGGGGTTCTATTCGCAAAAGAGAGAAACAAATTATTGAGGTTTACTAAATTATATTTTATTATACCTTTAACCAAAAATTTAAATAAGCAAATATCTTTCTATTCTGACAGCCACTTCTATTTTTCCCAATTCCAATTATTTCACATCCGTTCAAATTTCATTACTACGGACCAGGAAATATCCATACAAAAAAATAACGCCCTGCTTCTTCTATTCTTAATAACTTATAAGTTTATACATTACAACACTTCCGATTCACATTCCTATTAAAACTACCCTTCACCTATATCTATAAATTCTTAAAACTCCTCATTTAGTGACTGCTTATGCAAAATAATTATTTAAGTCATAATCCGACTCATTGGATTAAGTATATATGTGTTACCAACTATATTTTTATAAAAACCTTACAATAATTAATAATTTCTAAATGAAGAAAAAAAAAACCTAATTCAAAATTTCAGCACTTAAGGTCATCAATGGTACTTTATGAACAACAATTTTCAAACAAAATGTTCTCATTCTTTTATTGATTTATTCTTTTACTTTTAGTGGTTCCTATCCTTCACTAAGGATCATTTTGAACAGAACAATTACTTTACTCGGATTCCTAGCCAACAAATACATTTATTTAATTAATAATTCCTACTCAAAATCGAATATTGTTAAGAGCATTATAATTTTCCCTTGTTAATTCTTTGCAAAATTAATTAAAATGTCATTATACTCGAAGGCAATTAAAGTTATGCAATAAAGTTTTTACAGTCAAATCACTCAAGTTTTATGCATTAAAGTTCAATGTCAATTCACTTCTTATCATTCCGATCATTGATAAAAGTAAAAAAAAAACAATACTAGTCACTAGAGTACTTACATTTAACTTTTCACTCGTAAAATTACTTAATTAATTTTCTTCAAAAATCTCTAGGGCTCGTACATAATGTTGAACGCATTTAAATGGTCTTTCTTTCATAAATTTTAGTTACTTTTCAAAGTTTAACGCGTTTTCCCCAGGCAAAAATAGAAGAAACTCTCGCGAATTTTAACCAGACTGACTCATTAGGTACTGTAGATTTAACTCAAACTGGACTGAACTTAAACTGAACTGATCTTCTAAAATCCCTGTATTTATACTTTTCGATTCCCCCAAAAATATTATTAATTATCCACCAAAATCGACAATAGGCGGTCGTTTGACCATCTATAAGTCAATTCTATTGGTCGACCTAGATATTATTCCAAAAATTAATTTCATCATCTAGAGGATGATGCAATCTGTGCGAAATTTTTGTCATTTTGGGTCCAATTTAATTAGGTGCTTAACCTTGTGATTTATCTTTTCCAGTTTTTTATTTACGAGTTCAAATGATGACCGCGCTTGGTCATTGATGGCTTGTTTAAAATTTGAACGTACCGATATAAATATTTAAATTAATTTGGGTCAATGCTAATTTGTTCCATCATCTTTCAAGTTATTAATACTGACATGAAATATTGGAAATTCAATTTTTGATTATCTGATTACATTTAATTTTTATAGTTAAGACATTGTTAATTACGGTTCTATTTGCCCGGGTCATTACATCCCTCCGCCCGTTAAAACCGAAATTATATTGAATAAGATAATTCCGGTCAAATCTTATTCAATGTCCCATTAAAATATAGAATTTCACCCTAAATAAGTGCCTACCTCGTAAAATATGGTTCGGTCGGTGAACCCTCTGTGATTTATGGTTTACTTTTCTCAATTATAAAAATTTGACGATAATATTATCCGAGTATTTATCAGTTCGTTCAACCTAATTATGTGCCAGCTTTTCCTACCCTAACTTTTCATTTCTTAAAAATATCCGTTATATTTTTATTTTACAAAAAAAAACAAAAGTAATACCTACGAAATTAAACTTTTCCCCTGTAATTTCCCATCTTCATTTACAATAATAATTATTAAAGATTAATTATGAATCTTTACCCAACACTAGATTTTATCCTGGCATCAAAAATTTTTCTTATCTTTCTTCAGTAATACAATTTCAATTTAATATTTTCCTTCAAAATTGTTGATGCTAAAACGACACAAAACAAATTTCAATTTTACAAAGTAATTACCCTTACTTGTAGCAAAGTTTACTTGCTTTTTTTGTAATTTGTAACGCTGGTTGCTCGTTAGGCCTATATTGAGTGGCCCTATATTACGGTCTTCCACTACGACTCATGGGTTGGTTGCCTGTAGTCTCGCTGTCAATCTCACAGTAGTAGGTATCGTAGCTAGGATAGTTACGATCTGGATGCTGATGCTGCTCATGGATGATCTCGCTAGTTTGCTTGTCACACTTACACCTTTTTGACTTTTCACTTTTTCACAACACTACCCTCGTGGCTACTGGCTCTGGTTGACTACTGCCACCATGGTCTTCGGAGTTGTTCCCGATGGCTCGTCTGAGTGTCATTACTAGGACGGCATTGTCCAAACTTTCCATTTCAACATGGATACGTGGTAGCGGAACGAGTTCGTCGTTTTCTTGGTACCTATTAAGACATTGTAAATTACGGGTCTAATTTCCCGAGTCATTACAACATCTAAATATTTAACGTATCGCCGGATTATTCGAGAATCGGAGACGCTGCAGGAAACCAATGTTTAATAAAGATTTACAGCTGCGCTAGAGAAGGACGGAAGCAGTAACTTGAAAATACCAAAATTTTCAATTTTTATGTAAAATTTCTCGCTTATCAATTTGCCCCAAAACTGTTATTTTTTTCATCCTAATGTTTGCCAATTCTAAATTTTCTAGGTTGAAGACACATCGCTTTTCACACATCCCAATTTCGAAGATCGTCTAGTAAATTTCTGCCAAAATATGACATGCCGTATTTGGAAGTTTGGCGAAGAGCTCAGTGTTGCTTGGTTTGCAAGTCACAGAGGTAAAGTATTAAGATAAAATAATATCAAATTTAAACGTATATATTTTCAGGTATGACTTTGCTGCATCTTGCAGCATCACTGGGTTACTCCAGACTAGTATGCGCCATGTTGCATTGGAGAGCTGAAAACTCCTCACTTCTACTGGAAACTGAAGTTGATGCACTTAGTCAAGACGAATTTGGATACACACCATTGATGTGGGCCTGTGAACGCGGTCACACCGAAACAGCTGTAATGCTTTACAAATGGAATCATACAGCCGTAAATGTGAAAAACATGCAGAATCAGACTGCCCTGGAATGTGCTAGAGGCAACAATCAAACTGAATTGGTTGAAGAACTGGAAAAGCTAGAATTGAGAAGAGATAAAGCCAATATGTTGCTACATTCAAGCCAATCTTCAGTTGATAATGTTTCGCCTACAGTTATAAGTCCTGCTAGTAGTATTGGGTCTCTTGCCTCTATTTCGTCTGCTAGCAAGAGTCATGATGGGGTGTTTTTAAGACCAGGAGCGATAACAAGGTAAATTTTAATTTATTCGAAGTTAGTTTCATACTAGGTATTCATTCTTTCAGGAATGAGTATAAATCAAAGTTTCTAAGCATTGATCTGGACCCTGAAACAAATAAATTCGTCACTTCCTCTCCAAGTCCCTTATTATCAGATTTATCTTCGAGTACTCGAGGCAGTAACGGACAAAAATTGATTAAAAGACCATCCATTGATAGTGGGATCCATATGAGTTGCGGTCCTAATAGTACAAATGAAGGTTCAAACAGTAGACCAAAGAGCTCAAAAATTGCTTCTAGAGAGAATATAAAATTATCCAAGTAAGACTAACTAATTGCATAGGTAGGTAAAGCTGGAAATAATTATTTTTTCAGGATTGATCGTAGTATGTCCCTGCCTCTACAGTCATCTATCTACACAAGAGATAATTCCTTTGAATCTGATTTTCTGGAACCAGGACGAAAAATGGATTTCGCTTTGTGTAAGTTAATTTCATTGATAATATCTGGATATGTTTATTTTGCGTATACATACAAATTCGAATGCGGCTTATTTTTAAACCAAAAAAGAATATTAAAAATAAGTTGCAAATCCAGGTAAGTCATACATTAAACTCTTATGGTATTTCAAAAGTTTTATTGCATGCTGTAATCTTGGTTAAAATGACAAACCAAGCTATTATATTTTTATATTCGCTTCAAACGCTATTTTTTTATTTTACCAAATTATTGTTTATTTTGTAGAACCAATATCATTTGATGTAGATAGTAATTTTTAATATATTTATTTTTTTTTAATAATCTTTTGGAAATACATAATTAAAATTCGGAAATTAAATTTGCGTCCAAAAATATTAAATGGATATTTTACATCACCTCAAGCCGAGATAGGAACTGGACGGCGCAGCAGTAGTCCATATATTGACGTGGAAGCAGTAAGCGATGAAGATGACCATGACATCGGTTCGGGCAATGCAGTAGGTCAGTTCTCATATGGTCTATGTACTTATTTTTTAAGTGTTGTCTATCGGTGTTGTCTCTCTCTAACTTGTATGTTTTATTGGTGTCATCGCAAACAATTTACATTTGAAAAATAAACTAAGTTATTAAGCTGACATAAAGTATGAATTGTAAATTTTTTGCGGTATTTATTGGTGTTTTTTTTTTTTTTTTCTTTTTATACTTTTACCTAGCTCTCTGTCATCTTTTTCTCAAGTACAAAAATATGAATGTAAGTTAACAAAAATTAGCTATTGAGGAAGGGCCGTGACGATTTATTGGGTAGGTATCCAGATAGCTAATTTTTGCCTCCTTTTTACTTGACATCTATTCGAATAGTTCAAAAGTAGCAACACAATTTTTTACTACCATATACAGGGCTGCCTACTTTGAATGCCTTAGATATATCTAATGGTCACACTTGATAGAAAATATGCATAGTGGGCCAAATTGAATTGCACGTATTTTCCCCTCTAGTAAATTTTTGGTTTACCATTTTTTTTTATTTTTTTTATTTGTATATGTATTTAAAATATATTTTTCCAAATCTGCGTTTGTTCTGTTGGAAGGGGTCAAGTGAAAATTTATATCTTCAATAACATTTAAGACCTGTAGACAAGTAGATTAATATCTTGATGAAAAGGAGAACTGAGCTTCACAGTTCCCACCCCCATTTGGGGGTCGAAAATCATTCTCAAAATCAGATCTAGGCCAACGTTTTGAAACTGACCTGTGCCATCTTCAGGGCCAGGTTCTTGTATGGCTTAAAATCTGTAGATCTATTTTTTAAAATACGCAAACAGATTAATGTATTCTTCCTCCTGTTTTCTTTTTCTGTCCTCTGTCTTCTTGTTCCAGCATACTTTTTTGGAGCTGGTCCTATTCTTCTTGTCTTTTGAAGTCATTCGTCTTTTTCGTCCTATTTTTCTTTCTGTCGCCTTTTTTCTTCTTCCTGTCGTCTGTTTACTTATGATCTAGCATAATTTTCTGAAGCCGGCCCTGTCAATCTAGTTTTTGTTTTTCTCGTCTGTTATCCTTTAAAACAATTTCAATAACGTGGTTTATCTTCCATTTCGGCTGTGTGTTTTCTCCTAATTACCATACACAAAAATTATTCACTCACTTCAAACACAAACTATTACGTGAACAGGCTCGTGGATAAGTGAGACTATACTTTTCCAAACCCAAATAAATTTTATTTTAGTCAATAGGACAAAAAGTATAGCAAAACTAGTAATGCTACGACACACTTTGAATTACAAAAGGCTTACTTGTTCGTAGAACTTAATTACCAGATCTAAAATTTCGAAAGAAAATTTTCCGTCGAACATTTTCCCTCGCCTGATATTTTCCCATATATGCCAGAAGGCAAGTGATAAATGAAGGGGGAAGCTGGAAAGTATTCCGAAGTTATTCATATTTTGGCATGTCGTGTGTGGATAGTCTATGGAGTAGAATCTTATTTTTCGATCTCGAGAACCCTGTGCTAACTTGGGGGAAAGTCGAAAGACCTAGAAATTTTCGAACTTTTTCAGTTTTTTGCCCATAACTTCTAAACCATGCGTTTTTAGCGGAATCCCACCTATTTATAAAGTTGAAGAAAATTTAATCTCCTTCAAAACTGGTCAAAAGTATTCTTCAACCCAGTACTAACCGAGAACAGTGGTTCAAAGATACAAAAAAACTCAACTTCTCAAAAATTTCTTCCCGTCCTAACATTATTCAAACCAAGCATGGGATAAACATCTTTTATCCTCGTCTCTTTCACGTGCACTCGCACAGTCTACTGTGCCCCTGAATAATTTTTTAATTGTATCCTATTTTAATAATTATTTTTGGAAAATAAAACTTTTTTGATTTTGATTTTGACGTCATCTGTGCTGAACTCGTCTTTCTACTGACCATCTGCTGTTGCGAACTGCCACTTAGCTTGATCTATTGTTATCACCTGTATGAAGACCTGTTTGGAAAAAGGGAATTTTCAAGACATGAAATTGGAGCGGAAAGATAAGGTTGTATATTGATATTGATGGTGGGTACCTGCTACATAAGGTTGTGTGGAGCAAATCAAGAGATACGACATTTGAATTCGTGCCAGAATTGTTCCACTTTCAGGGGTGAAAATAAAACACGTGAGGTCGATTTGATAACTAGCAAAAGACTAACTTTTATTATGTCAAACAATGAGTGCCAAAATATAGAAACAATAGTTGAAGTGGACAATGTTGCCAACTTATTAATATGTTTAGGTATAATACCAACACTCCCACTTATCTAAACAATATGAAAATTATTTAATTTCATGCTCATGTTTACATAAACCTAGTTCAGCAGACATTTTTGAATGTTTTGGCAAACAAAGTGCTTTGGTTAGCACATTAGCTGGCATTTCATCGGTGGGGAAATACTTGAGGTTTACTAGTTTATTTGAAACAGCCTCTCGAATAAAATGATAGCGTACGTCTATGTGTTTGCTCCTTTTATGACATACAGGATTCAGACCTAATTTTTGAGCACTTTGGTTGTCATTAAAAATTGTAATGCACTCAATAATACCCAACAATTCTGAAATCAATTTTTTAAAGTAAATAGCTTCTTTAGAAGCTTCGGTGATAGCCATATACTCGGCTTCAGTACTGCTCAGAGCCACAGTATTTTGTTTATTACACTCCCAAGAGACAGCACTCCCTGATAATTTGAAAATGAAGCCAGTATATGACTTTCTGTCATTTACATTACTTGCAAAATCAGCATCCACAAAACCCATTTTTATACTTCAAACAATATGATTTAGTGGCTTGCAAATACCAAAGGATTCTTTTGACATGTGTCCAATGCTGTTCAGTATAACAATTATTAAACTGACTAAAGAAATTTACATAGCAAAAGTGATATCGGGTCTTGTCAATACTGACAAATACATCAAGCTACCTAAAAGTTGTTGATAGGGTAGTTTTTTATCACAAACATTGGAATCTACCTTATCAAAAGAAATATTTTTGTCCATTGGTGTACCTACAGGTTTACAATCCCAGATGTTGAATGTTTCTAAAACTTGTGAAATGTATTGTTTTGGTCCAATGATATTTCTTTTTTTTTCTTATCAATTACAACTCTCATGCCCAGACATTGCTTAATTTAACCTAAATCCTTGATTTTGAAATTTGAAGCTAACTGATTCTTTAGAAAAACTGTTTCTTGCATAGAGTTGGAAAAGATAAAAAAATCATCAACGTGTAAAGCTATTATGGTTATGAAACTGTTTTCACGCTTGACAAAGATACAATGCTCATAATCACATGTTTTATAATTCAAATTCTCTAGAACAATTAACCTTTCTGTACCATACCCGTGAAGCCTGTTTCAGTCCAAAAGTCGCCTTATTCAATTTCAATGCCTTATAATTTTGGTTACTCGAGTCGTCACAACTAAAGCCTTCTGGCATTTCCATGAAAACGGTTTCCTCCAGTTTTTCAACTTGTCCTAACTTAGCCCTATAAGTAATGCTACCATCACCATTTAATTTTCTTTTAAAGACCCATTTACACTTCACCGGTGTCTGACCTGAAGGAAAGTCAATCAGATCCCACGCAAAATTTTCACTAAAGCTTTCAATTTCGCTTTTCATGGCACTTATCCACTTCTGGCAGTCCGGACTTGAAAGAGTTTCTCCCACAGATCTTGGATCTCCCACTGAAGCTGGAACCTCTTCAGAACAATTTTCAACTACAGCCAAATAGCTAACAAAATCTTCAAATATTTTCGGTTTTCTTTTTCTTTCTGATTTCTTAAAAGTATCTGATGTGCCGACTTCTGGATTGGTATTTTTAAAATTTTTAGGAACATAAGTTTCGTCACTAATATCATCTTCTACTGTGTCTTCCGATGATGAAGATATTTGTTCTGCTGAATCCCACTCGGAATTCAAACTGTCTTCAGTCCAGTGGCGGTTCCTCCATAAGAGCACATGTGCACGTGCACTCCCAAATTAATATCAAACAACTTTAAATTTAATTTTATCATTTCTTCAAATTTTAACAATCTACCTGTAAAGTATTAATTTAAAAAATTAGTGGCCAAATGCGCCAGCAAAACAAACGCAACCGGCAACGCTGGAATCACAGCGTCCACCGCGTCGCTTGATCGCCCCGTTCACTGCACATTTCAATATTAAATCCAATTGGTGGAACTATGCCCCCCGCACTCTTTGTTCCCCGCGAAGGTCTAGCGACGTTCGATGTTTTAAGCTGGCTGGTGTGCACATGTAGTCAGTGCACTTTGGGATCGGAAGCTGTTGTTTTATATTTATTTCGATTTCGAGCGCGATTTAACTGAAAACTGTGTGTAGAATTGCGGGATTTCTGAACCCCGATAGCCTTAGCGTGCAATATTTAAAAACAATTAAATTTTCTTCGCTTTCTTTGGAGGAAAAAATCCAAATCAAATGTGTCGGCCGTCCAAAGCCAAATTTAATAATCACCAA